CAACCGACTTGGGATGAAACGTCTAGTGATGAAACGTGTGAATGATCTTCAGTATTCGAACTTAAACTCGAACTCGAAACTGTCTCGAGATGAAATCGAAACCATCTAGAGATTGAACCAAAAACATCTAGAGATGAATCCAAAACCGTTTAGATATAGCCATGAGCTTATAAAATCAGACGGATTTTAAGATAAATAAACATCATTTAATACTTCGGATGACCAAGATAAATTAAAATAAATGTGATCTATTTGATGTATTCAAATGAAAATGAAAACTTTTGATACAAGGCTTAAACGACAAATGACATTTGAGTAAGAGGTGATTGTGTCGAAATAACAACCTCTATTAGTTACAATAATAATTTTGTTGACATCATCTCGAATTTGCAGCATATTAGTTAGCTTTTAATAAAGCCATTTTCTTAAATAGGTACATCATTTGACAACAGGTCTAAAAGAAAGGGATTCTTTGAATCGAAATCGAAAATATAAAGTTTAACACATAATTGTTAGGTTATATTAGTTTGAAACAAACATTTTGCTTCTTAATTTTCGAATTTTTAGATAATGAATTGTTAATTATACTTATTTTCATACCAGATAACAAACACTTGATATCTCTGGGCCGTTCTTGTCTTAACCCTTTCTTCTTCTTTTCTTCTTCGGGTCTGGCCTGATTTTACTTTTGTATCTTGTCAACAATAGCGAAGAGGCGAAGAAAATTAATTGATTTATTTTAATTAAAACCTAGTTGTAAATAATTTAGTTATACTAGAAGAATTATAATAATCTATTTTGTTTGTCATTTTTATAGTGTCCATGGACATTTTTTGGACATGCATTGGACTTCTGAATGGGTATAGCCATTGGAATAACGGAAAATGGATGTCCAATGGACATCCATATGAAGTTCATGGACATCCAGGACATTATTAGGACATTATTTGCACAAAATATGGACGTCCAATGGACGTCGTGTAATGTGTGGGATGCTACGCTACTGGGTAATTTAAAATAACCCTGTACTTGCGTTTCAAAAACACCCTGTAGAAAAATTATCGGGTTTGCAGATGATACGGCTTTATTTTATCGGGCAAATAATTGAGAAGACAAAACAAATAGCCGAGAAAGACTTCTTGCCTATCAAGAAATGGATAGATTATAAATTATTAACAATAAATATAAGCAAAACGAATTACCTACCTTTTAGTTGTAACTTTTCGGATTCTCCTACCTTTGACCATCTAAATATAACCAATGCAATGTCCATAAAACCTAAAAATCAAATTAAATATTTGGGGATAATTATTGATCCACACATGAGATGGGATAAACATATTATAAATTTAAATAACAAATTACGAAGCCTCCTATATAAATTTAAAAAACTAAAAGATCTCTTACCTGTGAGTTATCTAAGAACATTGTACATTGCATTAGTAGAAAGTCATTTGCGATATGGGATTCTAGCATGGGATGTAGCCCTTAAAACACATATCTATCCATTAGAGGTAATGCAAAGAAGATTTTTTAAAATAATATTATCTAAAAGAAACAGATATCCATCAGATATTTTATATAATCAGATAGAGTTAATGGACATAAGTCAGCTTTACTACCTCTGTTCAGGAATCAGACATCATGTACATAAACAAGCTCCAATTGCAATTCATGAATATAGTACTCGGCACAAACATCATTACATTACTCCGTTTATGACAAAAACCTGTACTCAACAGTCATATTCCTATATGGCACCAAAATTATACAATACAATTCCGGAAAACATAAAAATCATTGATAGTATATACTTTTTCAAAACAGAGCTAAAAGATTTTATTTTGAAAAGCGAGCGACATATTATTGATGATTACTTCTAATACTAGCAATATATACTTAAGTTTAGGCAAATTAAAAATAAGTTATCTGTTTAAATTTATCTTGGTTAAGTAATATCATAGTTAGAAATGTATTAGTACCTATTGTGTGATTTTATTATTATTGTTATTAATTATTATTAGATTTTACTCTTCTATTTACTTTTGGCCAAAACAGGTGTCTATACACTTATTGCAATCCAAAGCTTTATTCTTGTCATTACTGTGATGTATCTATAGTTATTTATCTATTGCATTTATTTTATAAAATTAACTGTATTATGTATTTTATTGAATAAATCAGATTAATTCACTGATTTATATATTTTCTTGTATAATTATAAACTTTCTGACCATGTATTATTCCTGTCTTCATACTCCATTTCCGTAGACACCTTTTCAATTTTAAATAATCAGCTGTTAGCGTGGTAGCATATTTTTTATCCTATAACTTTTTATTTGACCAAATAAATCATTTTACTAAAAAAAATCATTTTTATGTATGTAATTTTTAGGTTACCTATAAAAATCAAACCCACCTCGCGTTCCAAATTTTTGATGTTGGCTGTTCAACTTTTATCGTCGCATCATTTCGAACGTAAAACAAAGACGGACGTCATTTTAAACTTTCCTATATCGTAGTAAAAATCCACGTTACGATTCCTTTTAAATCGCAATAAAACTCCCCCATTTGTTGAACCTTGTAATATTTATTTTGATCTACAACGTAGTACATCAAAAGCGATATCGAGTTTTAAAATTTATTGTTCCAAAAATTAAAACAAGTAATACATGCTTGTAGCCGGAAAACGATCTAGTTTGAGAGCAGGTCCTAAATCGTCGTTTTGATAAATCCCAAGTGGTCCCGCGATCAATCGACTGGTGGTTTTTCTATTGTTTCGAAATAGCGAGTCGTTCACTCAAACAGGGCGGTAACTGATTTAGAGCAACAAAATTGTAAGAAGAAAGTTAAAGTCTGGGAAATAGCCCAAGTCCATTCGGTTTCTTTATTGTTTAAATTTAAAATAGATGAAACAAAAAGTTACTAGATTTTGTCACGTTGTACATTAATTACATCATGTTATTATGTCAATTGTCAGTTATCAAAATAATTTTGAATTTGTCAATTTGTTAAACATTGGTATATTTTGATATTCAGCTAAATAAAATGTCATTTTGAAAAAATTTTAACGAGGAGATAGAGCTGGGTAACTTTAAGTCTGTATTTATGGATGGTACGTGGGTATATAGCAAGGGAAGTGACAGAAAAAGTTGGCAAGATAGAACGATGGCTACTGCAAGTAACAGCAACAGGAGATGAAATTTGATACATAATAGTGGCAATGAAGAAGGGTTTATTTTTACCTAGTCCGGAGCATCCTTCCCTGATTATATTATAATCGATAATGCCAGAGTTATAATTCGCGGTACGTGGAACCAATTCCATGTTATAATTGGACAAAATGGTAAAATGGTTGCAGGAAAAGAACATTAATTATCTAATCAATGGTATGAATTATCAAGCAATCTGTAGAACTTTCGTAGGCGTAGAAACGTTGTTAAAAGTGCTTCGCAAAATTATTTAGTTTAAGTGGTTAAGGTAGTTCACTCGTAAAACGGCTAAGAATTCAATAAAATTGAAATATAAGGTTAATGAAAGTGTCTTTTATGTAACTAAAAAATATTAAATTTTTTGACCGTCTGTGAAACGAGATATTAACAATCAAAATGTGCATAATTAACACTATTGAAGCCTCTCATGTACACAAGTAATGCATTTTTAAGATATCTCGAAAAAGATTCTTACCATTTTTTTAAAAACTAATGTAATATAAATCAAGAAGTTATAAAATTTTCTAAAGAAACGCTGAATTTTTTGACCGTCTTAGTAAAAAAGATAGATTTTAAAATAAAAATATTTTTAAAGCAATCGACGCGTAGTTGCGTAAAATTATTACAACTCGGCAACGTTGTATACGCTGCAATCAACGCGTTGTACCAAAATAACACTCGATCAGCTAAGAGGATGTTATGACCTCGAGACGTTTTCTTGAAAAATTAATTCGTCCACTGTATTTGAGAATTGGAATCAGCGGTTCTGTTTGAATCAAAACAAACCTTTAAAATTTACAAATATAATATCAAAACCAAATTCCTAATGCACTAATTTATGAACATTTTCTCATGTCTACGGGGTTATAAAGACAATTCACTGCATAGCGGCTTGTCTACATTCATCGTAGCATACATCTTCAAATGACGTTACAAAACGTCATGGGCAGCGAAAGTGTTAAAATCTAATATGAGTCTACATATTTTTAAAATAAAATTGAAACAATGGATCGCAAAGTAGAAAAATATTTCATGACATTATTAATTCATTTAAAATATACAAAAAAAAGAAAGAAAAGAAAATGTAAACCAGTTAAAAAAATGAATCCAAGAAAATAATGTTGACATTCCACATTGTCTCTAAACTACAAATTAGTTAAGTAATGATATGATTATTTTTGTTAGTTTATAATGTTAAATATTTGTGTTACAGTTTTTATTAGAATTTTAACGTTTTTAATTTTTGTGTATAATCGATAAATAACCGAATTTCTATCTTTATTTTGTCTATAATTATAAATAATTCGTTAATTTTAATAAGACTATATAAAACTAATTTAATTACGAGTAAAATCCTAAATGTGGCACGGTCTCTGTCTTCCACGTTAAAGACTCGGGTTCAAATCTGGGCTTGAGACTAATTAAATTAATGCTTTTTTTAATGTTTATTTTATTTTATAAATTTGTGAAAGTCATAAATTATTTCAAAATTAGTTATTTTGTTCGAATAAACTAAAATAATTTTTTAAATTTTCGATAGTGGATCGTAGAAATAATATACACTCGAATGGATTGTCCATATATCCACTTTTGTTGCACAAACTACTATTCTATAGCTCTGATTCTGTTTTAACTATACATAACCATAAAATCAGCATTATAGGATTCCCTATTTACTTAAATATAATTTTCAATTAATAAATATTCTAAAAAGCTGTAGATGAAAAATTTTAAAATAAAAATAGGAATATTTCTATTTAGTACCAATGTATTTTTCTATTGTTACAGATGGACACATCCCAACATTGGCAATTGATTAGTGATAGTGCAAAAGACTTAATACAACAAATGTTAAAAGTAGATCCAAAACAAAGGATTACCATTCAAGAAGTTTTAAATCACAAATGGTTGAGGGTAAGTTTGTTCATGAGTAATAATATATTTAGGTTACTAAGCACGTTCTACAGTAGCAGTTATTTTTAAAAACTATTTTTTGTTAAATTTTTAAAATATTGGTAGCTGAAGCTATTTAAAAAAAAATAATGTAGGTACCTACACTATACCCAACTATTTCAAATTTTAGTCACGACAAATTTACATAAAATTGTAACCAAATTACATTGCATTCTATAAGGGATTATAATTTAAAATGTACAACAGCTACATCTGATGAACTAAACCCACCCCAGCTACCTCAAAACACAAGCGGCAGAAGCCAGAATACCCCATTTCTTATGAAACGTCACTCGCGAGGTATCTGTTTTCAAAATAGTACCATTTTCTAGGTAAAATGTGCGAAATCAAAAAGTTATTGTTATTGGATTTGCTACTAGAAAAAACTGAGGAAAAAGAAATTTTACTTATAGCATGTAGGTAAAAATAAATGGCACAGATTCATCCATTATTTAAAACTGAAACCGAACATGACATTTGTAAATCGTAAAGGCAAGGGTATTTTCCAAATAATGTATTTTTCTTTGTAATAAAACTTTGGACATTGTACAAGCACGAGTTTTACAACATGCGCCTATAGCTTGATAGCCTCGACTAGTAGTAGTGACGCAGCATCTGTAGCCGCCAGTGTTTGACGCTTGCGTCTGACGCTCGAAATAAAAAACGGACAAATTAATTGGCACTTGATAATAGTTCATAGAACAAACAGTGCTATTTATCCATTATGTTCTCCTAGAACAGTAGAAGAAATCCTAGCATGGATAGAGAATAATTCGGCTACGCGTGTGCAGGAATTATTATTTTATTATTATTATTATTATTATTACAAATAAATAAGGACAGAGGTCGAAAGATCTATGTCCATTTTAATGTGAAAATTTAAAAATAAAATTAATTCAAAATATAAGAAGTAGAGTGAAAAAGTCTAATTGCACAAAAACATATTAACAGATTCAGAGTCAACAGTAGCAGGTGACAAATTATTCCAAGTTGCAAAAACTCTATTTGGTAAGAAGTTTTGCCTTGTACTGGTTTTAAAGTTTTTAATTTTTAGCTTGAACTGGTGTCCTCGAAGACGATTGTCTGTATTAGTGTTATAAATATCGATAAGACTTTCATAAAAGTGTCTAAGCCACTCACTGTAAGCCTCTCTGCATAAGAGGGTCTAACCGAGCCTAGTGTTAATCTTGTGGTGCGGCGCTGAATGTTCTCTAGGTAATTTCGATCGCGAATTAATTCTGGACTCCAGACCGGACCACAATATTTCATAAATGGGCGGACATAAGTTTTATAATTTGAATAAACGTGTTAAAAGAAACCTTTAAAAAAATTTTTTTCAAAAGGTACAATTTACTATTCGCCCGTTTGCAAATGTCTGAAAATCTTTGTATCCCAAAATTATTTATATTATAATCAAGACAAGGGTTATTGTCACCGATATGAAGAACAACGCACTTTTCAATTATAAGAGGAATCATCCAGTCAGAGCACCTTGAAGCTTCTGGTGAACGAGGAAAGGATTTGATAATATTCTGGTGTTGTCGGCGTACAAATATTTACTGCATTGAATGTGATATTGTAGATCACTAGCGTAATGGACCCAGAACCTAACCCTGAGGCACACCATTTACAACCGATTTTTCACTTTATAGCGAATCATCCAATTTCACACAAAATTTTCTGTCCGTAAGACGTCCATTGGTTGGTTGTTATTCAAAGATTTCGTTCAGTCATTAACGCATTGAATAAGTTTAGTAATTGTTGATCTGCATTTTAAAAATCTATGTTGTTGATTAGGAATAACATTTTGATACAATAGGAAAGAGACCTTCGTTCGTAGATTATGGATCCATAACTTTACAGATAACTGGAGCGATAATTGTTTTTGGGTCTAATTTGTTTTCTATTTTTAAAAATAGGGGTGACTGAAGCAGATTTACAAACAGATGGTAAGGTGTGATATTTTATAATAATAATAATAATTTGCGACAGAGGTACTGTCAAAACTCCTGAACATTTTTTGAAAAAAAAAAAAAAAAGAAATAAATACACTCTAAGCCAGAAGCAGCGTTAGATTTAAGTTTTTGCAGGTACTCTTGTACAATTTTAGGTGGGAAACAAATAGAATCAAGATAAGCTGCGACTCTTTGTTATTTGAATAAGGGTAAAGGGACTGCTCCACTTATTTGGAAAATCCTCCAAGAGCAGCTGTTTTATGTATATGTATAGGCATGTACAACTAGTATATTATTAAAGAAGTCTCACATTCAAAAATGCCCCCAGGAAGAAACAACATCTTTATTGATTCTTTTGTGAAAAATGTAATAAAGCAAATGGTACATCCTTTTTTCTTTCGAAATTAAATTTCTACACTTAAAAAATGACACTCAGACATAGAAAATAGCCCGACTCTTCCAAATATATCATATTTTCATCTCCAAAAAATATTACTTGAATTAAATTTTAATTACAAAAACATGACAGAAACCAGCTTTTTAACAAAGAAAGACGAAATCATAGCGTGGAGACAAGATTATTTAAGGAAAATAGCGGACGCAAGGAATCAGTATAAACAGGTATTTTATTTAGATGAAACATGGGTTAATGCTGGACATACAGTAACAAATATTTGGCAAGATACCTCCATCAAAACTAAAAAACAAGCCTTAATGGAAAGGGTCTGTTATGGATTAAAAAATCCAACAGGAATAGGAAATCGTTTGATAACAACCCACATTGGAAGCACCGATGGATTTTTGCCAGATGGTTTATTAATATTTGAGTCAAAGAAATCAAAAGAATATTATCAAAAAATGGATGGCCCTATGTTTGAAAATTGGTTTCATAACATTATAAAAAAAATCCAGCCAATTCCGTTATTGTTTTGGATAATGCATCATAGTCGATTAAAGGAGTCACTACCTTTAACAAGAACAAGGCAACATAAAAACAAATTCAAAAAATATAATATAGACGAGATGGCCCGAGAAAAAGGAATTAAAATTCTCAGATTACTTCCTTACCACGCAGAGTTAAATCCCATTGAACTGATCTGGTCGCAATTAAAAGGTTATGTTTTTAAAAACAATAAAAACTTTAAATTTCCCGATGTGCGAAATTTGTTTTTAAAGGCAATTTCAGATGTAAATGGACAATATTGATCATGTTAAAAAGGTGCAAAATTTATTTAGTAAAGTGGACATAGCAATGGAAAATTTAATAGACCATATAATAATAAACTTCAGAAAAGACAATGATAATGATACCAGTAGTTATAGTAAAGACAGTCACTTTAAACATAGTTCTTGAACTTTTTATTTTTTTAATATTTAATTTTAGGTACTGATGTGTTACTTTTAATGCCAAGAGAATAAAACAGTTCAATCTTAAAGTGCAACCATTTTGTCAGAAGCACAAGGTTTATTTTTATTTTTTGTAAATAATATAACTTTTTCATTCAAAATTTAATCTACGAAGTGCGTGTATACTATTTTATATGCCGTGGCCTTATTTATAGTATAGAAACTCATTTTGCAAAGTACGCCTATGGAATGTGACATTATATCCCCACTTTTATTGCATTCCTCTTTTATTCAGACTATGATAATTAACCTTGCTACAGGCAACACAGTTTTTATCAAAATTTTCTTGAAAAATAACATTTTTGTTTTCAGGACAGAGACAAGGGATTGAGAATTCATCTCAATGAGACTGTAGAGGAATTGAAAAAATTTAATAGCCGTAGGAAATTGAAAACTTATGTTCTTAGCGTCGTCAATTCTAGTAAATGGTATCCGTATGACGATTCCAATGCGGATTCCTTTTCCGATTTCGGTGATGACGAAGTGTCTTCCTGTGGTAAGTACCAATAAATGCAAAATGCGACATCCATCTAATGTATTATCTTTACACCCTAAAATATACATAAATATACCATTTAATATTTATATAAATTGAAACGCAAACTTTAGATTTTTACTTGCGTTAATAAATGTTTATTGAATTGATATTTTGGATTTTCCCCCTTTTGTCCATATTGCAATGTAACAAGACAAAAAAATGGATTTTAACATAGAGATAAACTCTACAAAGCCTAGCAAATAAATAAAGATGAACCCATGATCAATCATAACAGTTATTTATTAAACCGGTCCAAGTATGACTTTTTCCGTAGGATGCAAAATCATAGTATTGAAAATGATTTTCTATCTCTGCTCTTTTCCTCTTGATATAATGCAATGCCTGTTACGGTATTAGCCAAGGGATTAGTTATTTTTAGGAGGGAAACATTCGCCCGACTTTGCTGTGACACAGACTTAGATAGTTGCTAATTCCCTTTCTTATTAATTTCAAAACATGGTCACATTTATGAAATTGCAATTATTTCCTCTAATTAAAGAATCAAAAATCGGATTTTACAAAAAGATTCACAGTTTATTGTAATTTATTTATTCTCAAGGACTATCTCACTCTTATAATTTAACCATTTTACCTTTACTTGACAACATTTATTTTAAATCTTAGCTTAAAGGGCAAAATAATCCATTTATATACCAAAATGTAACGGCCTAGAAAAAATCCAATCCTGATTAGAATGCTAGTCTAGAAGTTCTCGAAAACCTTCCTGTACGAGTCGGACTGTGTACAGATAAAACATTCCAGTCGTCTCTCGATTGCGAGCGCCAGACCCAACGGCAACGGTGAAGGTTAACAAAGAACAAGACCGAACGGCTGAAAACGGCTTTGCAAGATATTATGATAATAATAAACATAATATTTTTATACAGAACGTATAATCCATGTCCATAAAATGGTAAAAAACATAAAGTATTACCTTGGTAACAAAAATACAAGGATTATCTACTAAACTAAAATGGAACAGTATTCATCGTAGCCTATCAGAAATTAAACTTAAATGTGATTTTTACTCTTTTCTAAAATACATTTTAATACGACTGGTCAAAATTAATAGTTTTTAAATAAAAACTCCTTAAATGTAGTATATAAATATTTACGATTAGTATAAAAAGAAACCTAATGAAAATTGTAATAAATAACAGAGCAATTTTCATGATTTTGTAAAATATATTAAAAAATTGGAATGAAGATATATAATGCTTGGGATTGCATATTATACTCTTCACAGTTTAACAGACCGTCATGTGGAAACGGTTAAACAACTCGAACCAAAATGAAGAGAGAAATTTAAATTTAAAATATTAATATTAATAAAATTATGATTTATCAAGTTGTAAATATCCCGAAATATATAATTTTGGGAGTGAGGATGACCAGGAACTTGTTGGATACGTTGTGGACAATGAGCACTGATGATGGCAAATAAGCCGAAAGCGCTTTGCATTGATTAATAAAAAAGTTTTGCACGAAATACAAGTTTTTCCTTTTGAATTTATTTAAATTTAACTAACAAATAATCAAATTTGGAAAAAATTTTCTTTAAATTCAATACTAACAAATTTTGAGTTCCTTTAACCACCTCCAATCACTCGAATCACACTTTGAGAAACATGTTCCACACTGAGGTGAACACACCTCCTCTCTTGACATTTGACAGGTCAACGTCTTTAAGTGTCGCTTGTCACCACTGTCATATGGACACGATCAAACAATATTAATAAAAATGAATGTATAAAGCAATTTAAATTTGAAAATATTACTAATAGTAATAATTATGATTTAGCAAGTTGTTAATATCCTGAAATATCTAATTTTGGAAGCGAGGATGACTAAGAACTTGTTGGATATGTTTGTGGACAGTAGGTAGACTTTTTTACAATTATAATGTAAGAAAAAACCTTCAGCGTTTTTCCTTTGGCCTTTTGCGTTTAACCTTTTTCATATTAACTATTGTATTCTAAATTTAAATTTCAATATATTTTCCACTATTTGTAAATATTTTTTTTTTTAATTTTAACTAATTTGTTAACTTGTTTTCAACTGTACACAATGCGACAATGCGAATAGTGAAGGTGGTATAATTTCTTAGTTCCACACAGGCTAACTTGCTTCTGGAGATCAGATATGATTTTTTAGGAGGTTATCCCACACTCACTATTCCCAACACTGGGTTATGTCACTCTGTTTGTTATCTTTTAATTGAATTACCTTATATGTATAATTTTAACTTTTGACTTAAAAGTCTTACTCAGATTTGATTTTTTCTCGTATTTATAAATTGTAAGTTTACATCCACAATTTTTGTAGATAAGCACTGATGATGGCACAACGCCGAAAGCGCTTTGAATTTATTAATTAAAAAATTTTGCACGAAATGTAAGTCTTTCCTTTTGAAAAAACTAATATTTAAATAATAATTTTATGATTCTTATTTTTAAATTGATGTAAAATTGTGAATTTTAAACCAGGTTGACCTGACTTTTTTATAATTAATGGAATAAAAAAATGTTATTATTTTTAAAAGGTATATATATTGGTAAAAGGAAAAGTTATTTTACTCTCAAGCTCTTTTGATGGTAAAGGTGAGATTTTTAATAATTGTAAAAAAGAATTATTGACATTTGAAGAAAAAAATGTTGTTCGGAGTAAAAGAAATGTACTTATAACATTGTCACAAAAGTATGACTTTTACTCATAATAAAAAATAAGTTATGCTAGACAAAGCAGTACTTATCAATAGGTTCGTCACATAAAATGAATTCGTCATAGTCACTTGAAAATATTCTTCTTAATGGCTTTCTTTTAGGAGGAAGAGGTTGTACCTCATCATCACTTGTTATATCTGATGTTATAAGAACCTTTGTTGTTTTTTGGCTAGCTATTTGGAAGTTCTCTAAAATAGATTAATAATTTTATACACTATGATTTTTTAAATAATCAAAATGGCTCCCAGATATTTTTTACGAAATATTATAACTATAATAGGTTTCCGCAACCAACAAAAATTCAAATAATATAATATCAAGGTATATAATGCAAAATAGTTCCATAAAACGATGTAATTAAAACCACAGTACCTAAAGGGTAAGGTTTCAGTAATAATAAATAAACCAGTAAGGTGTTTTATTTTTCTAAAGGTGAGTTTAGTCAGCCTGGTTTAGTTTTAAGCATTAACATAAAAGTTATCAATTTATTTCAATGTACCTGTTTATACAGAATAACATAGGCATTAACATTAACATAGTAAAGATAAATAAAAATCAACTTAATGCTTAAAATAATGTCAAAAATACAATTATTACAGGTGTGAGTATAAAAAGTGAGGTTAAGCTATTGTCCTAACTTTAAACTTTAGAACTTCTAAACTCTTTTCTGACATTTTTATTAATATTTGTGAGATAGCAGAGTAATTTTAAAACCACCTACCACCTATCTTTTTCCCATTTTTAAAGATTTGTCAAATCTTAGGCATATGTTTCTTTAAATTATCTTTATGAAGGGTTTTGTTTTAAAATCCTTAAATTTTTGCTTATATTAATGTTTATGTTAATAATTAAAACAAAAATAGGCTAGCTACAGGCACCTTTATAATATAAAAAATCAAACACCTTTGGTAAAATATGTTCTATAAATAAGAAAGAGTCCATTTTTCTCCAGAGGAGTCGCCCTTTTTTAAGCTCTTGTCAAAATATTCTTGTTGTTTATAAGAACTTCCTGCTTTCGGGATGTCGGCCACTTGGTGTGGTTTAATGATACTACGGTACCGTGCTTGTCGATGTATTGAATTCCTATAAACATACTAAAAATAAAAAATAATATCGCACTAAACTTCCTAACTATTAACCTTCAAAAAACATGCAAAATCATACAATAAAATTTATGGTGAATATTGCAAACACAGGTTGCAAAAATGAAAAGCAATAACAACAAATGGCGTGAACCGCTAACCTAGACAATGACATGACAGCTGACATTTTCAAACAGTGTTGACATAAAATTTCATTTAAAAAGGAAAATTCCTAAAAATCCCTAGATTTAAAATGAGAATCATAAATTATTATAGACACTAAAGATACTTTTATTAATAAATAGAATGTAAAACAATGAAGGTATAGAATCGACGTGTACACGTGTGCAGTATAACGCGTCATTTCGGAACGTCACAAACTGGTAATAATGAATAACAAAAACTCGAAGTGCATTAATTACATAAATAGGTTTATTTTGTTCGCAACAACTGTATTTATGTGTCAAATTGGTCCGAAAATGACGTAATTATTCACATCGACATATTTGACCAAAACTGATTATGACGTGAAACGACGATGCTCGACTTTTTATGAACAATAAATTTTTTCCTAATATTAAAAATAAAAAAGTTATTCATATGCCGCCAACTAACGAAAACAGTTGGTTGTTCTCACTCTCTCCTTTTTAGATAACCTTCAATTCCTTATTTCTTTTTACCTAACCTATTCATCATTTTATTCTTGCTTCGCATTACTTTTATTCATATTTTTTAAATTTTTTCTTAGACTTTTCTTTTCGTACTCATTCTGTATGTTTCACTTTTTTTTACATATTATTCTACTTTATCTTTTATCCTGTGTCTGTTTTCTTTATCTTGATTCTATATATTTTTTTATTTTCCTTTATCCTGTTTTCTTCTTGAATTTTTTACATTATTTTTCTTTTTTTAACTCTCGAGATAACTCCTTTTTTCTTCAATTACTTCTATTTTTATCATTTTACCTCTGTTTTGTCGCTGGAAAGACAACTCCAATTTAGCTATTTTACAGAAGAGGCAATTTAAACTTTTGCTCTATAGTGCATTGCATATGCATTTAATTTTCCATATTATGTTAACTGTAAGGAGAAGAGGTACGCATCTTTGTCACATCATAGATATCCACAGCTATGTGAAACTATCACATCGAAAT